GAATCTCTTCATCATGTACTATCATACAAAAGAAAGTTTCCCTAACAAACTTTCCTGCTCTAACAATGTCGATCACACAAAGACTCAGCACCGATTCCTTCGGGTTGTGGGACTGTGCACCGAGGGCTTATCCGAACAAATTTGCATTCACAACTTCAAGACAATTCAGCTTCAGCTATTATGCATACATTAATTTAATTAATTTAAACATTTAATATACATGGCAAATCTACGAATACTTTCACTTCGCCGTATTAACTATATTAATTTTAATCGTAGGTATGAAAACCAAGATGGTGTGGCTTCTTGTGTGATCGCAGTCTCCTTTCATTGTATAGAAGTTGTTTGACCTTGTTTTCGCAACTCGGTCAAGTTGGTAGGAAGACTTAGAGGAACCCACCTTGTCCGAAGTCCATTGTATGCATCATCATTTCCAGAGTAGGGGAAGGGGAAGGGGAGATACCCTAACGGTTTAGCACACGTTTGGTCAAAGGATGGGCTTCACTTGTCTCTTTGTCGAGTTGTTAAATGGTGCTACGAATGGCGAGACTCACTGACTATGCCGACTACGATGCCGGCGAAACGTCCGGGAATGTACCACGTCCACGGTCCTACTCTGGAAATGATGATGCATACAATGGACTCCGGACAAGGTACGTTCCTCTAAGTCTTCTTACCAACAAGCCGAGTTGCGAAAACAAGGTCAAACAACTTTTATATTAATTTAAAATGCAGCCTCGCCTTTACAAATTCATTGGTATTCTCTTCGTTTCATCGTGGAAGACTCATCTCTAATACTTTTGGACACCTCTTATAATAGATTTTCTGGAAGTTTCAGGATATAATGAAAGAGTCTGCCTAACTCTTTATGCTGCAGTGTCAGCAAAAGGGTCGTGGGAAACAGTGTTCTGTCAGGAGGATGATGATGCTGAAATCTAGCTTTATTTTACTGGGCAATATTTCAAGGTCCAGGCTCTGAGGTGTAAAAGAGAATGCTGCTGTAAATGTGATTGACAATGAGCATGGCATGGACGCTGTGCTCACCCTAATTTTCACTTTGAAGCCACTCCCAAATTCGCGACTAATAACGACATAAATGTCTTTCTGGTACCTGATAT